GCGACAGCGACGACGACGGAACCGTGACGTCACGTCGTCGTCTGCATTGTCACCTGTTCAGGAGCCAAGCCGCCGAGACGGCCCCCAGCGACGACGCGGCGACGCGTCAAGTCGCGCAACTTTCTCGCGGGATTCCGCGCGGGAGCCTTTTTTCGGCGTTGCCACCCGACAGTGTGGATTTTTCGCCCACGGAATCCGGCCAAATTTGCGATTTGACGTATTTTGCCGAACGGAACCTAAGACATGTGGGAAAGAAGGGATGTGCTTGTTAGTCGAGGGGCGTAAGAATGATACGGAATCAGAAAGCGCCAGTGACGTCAGCGGCGACGAGGCCACCGCCGCACGGTGGATCGAGTCAATAGGAGAGGTCGGACAGAATTTGGAAACTTTAAACGCTCATAACTCCGTTTATACACATCTTTGAGGTTCTAAAAGTGGTTCCATTGGTTTCCTCGTGAAATTTTCTTCTAGATGCACCCATTGAAGTTGAAAATGTGACGAAATAAACATCAAAATTTGCAATTTTAGTCGAAAATTTCATGTCCGACCTCTCTAATTGACTCGCTCCACTGTGCGCCGTGGCTTTGTGTGGAAGTTATTATCTCATGAACCCTGTCCATAGCGCTCTTGTCATATGCCCATGGCTCATGTGTGCCGCATTCAGGTGTCACATAGTTTCGTTTGACAGAATGTACGATCCCGCTTTTCCATTTCTAAAAAGGGTATCACAACCACTTTAACATTGTTCCGAATGCAGCTTTAACGGGCGCACCCCATCTTTCCCAATCGTCTATAGAAGCGTTTGGCAAAAATACGTCTAATTAGGAACTTTAATACCTGATATCTCGCACATTGACCGACATAAATTTCTAACCAAGATATTTAATGTTTCTTGACGCGTTAATTCAAACCTCCCGCTCATGGAAACGCAATTGTCTACATGAGTCAAATCGCGCACTAAACGCAACCGTGGCAATCTCTGTGATACGACAATACGGTGACCTCAATCTTTACGCTTTGGTTCAGTTGTAGCAAATTGTTTACACTTTGAATAAAGGGTAGCTGAAAAAATGGAACCAATCGATGCGATATATCGCTCGTCGTTTTGGCACAAATATAGCGTCAATCGAATTACCTCCATGTCGTAGTCCGGAGTTGATTTCAATAATTTTCGATGCAAGAATCGTGTTCCACGTAAAATTCTAGTAATGAAACATGTACCAGAATGCTCAAATTTGAGCCGTCTCTTGTGGTCCATTAAGATGATAAAACTCCCGATATTGGTACTGTAGCCTAGCGCGGAGGCCCCGTGCGGCAACGTCATATTACTGGTAGACGTCTCGACGTGATTCTGCGTGAGGTTTGCGCGCCAAAACAATACCCGAGCTCCTAAGCGCGCTATGGCGAATCCCTCCTTCTCTAGTTTTCTGATCCTCGTCTCCCTCATCACTTTCTCCTTTTCCTTCCTTCTCTTCCTCCTCGGCTATTCATCTCGCACCCATTCAAACTTCCAGCCCAGCGAGTCCCCACGACTACAATTTATGCCTCACGTGAGTTTCAACCAATCAGAGGCTTACTCGCGGTATCGTAGAGACATGGTAACGTCTCGTGATGGTTGACACCTCGCGCATAGTAGTTTAAAGGCACTTGATAGTCGGGTAAGTAAATTGAACGGGATATTTGGACTACGTCTTTCAATTAGGAACTATAATGTCTGGCTCAGTTTAGAAACAACGTATGTACCAATAGTGTCCCTATGCATATAAGCGTTTTGATGAGCGTATGGATGAGCTAAAGATTGTAGTTCCTGATCGCAAATGTAGTCCATTTGAAGAAGGGTGTAACCGCCAAATTTTCAAATATCGAGTTTTCGACACAGTCTTTTTTTAAAATTTGAATATCTGGCTGTGTGGAAACAGGACGTAAGTTCCGCAATTCCTCTCTTAGCTGAGTCTGCTTTCCTAGATTTATAGGTATGCAGGATGCTGAAGAAAATTATCTTTTCTTCAGTAAGTCCATTTTCTAAATTTCCAATTTGATCGTATGGAGCTCTGCACATGATTTCGACAAAAAATATAATGGGGCTTCGACTTTCCTATTGTTTTCATATACCAGGAGTAGAGAGTAATTTGACGAAAGTCGTAGAAACCCGTGCTCGCTTATTCCCATTGGTGCCGGACGACATCCTTCGGTTCGGCGCGAAACCGGGGTGTTTTAAATTTGCTGAAAGTTGCTCTTTCTGATCCGCGTATTACTCGGCCTTTAATTTACTTTTTCGCGTGTGCAAGGTGCGCATTATGTTCTACACGTCATTTACCCTTAGAAAAATGTATTCGTAAGTCAAAATTCGTTCATGGCTCAGTGACCCATTCGTAGCCAATAAGCCCCCATCCTGTCCAGTGTCCAGTGATCCATGGTAGCTCCTGGTGACTATGGGAACTCTCTGGACCGCGAACGTCCGTACGGTCAAACGGCAATGCAACCCATACCAAATGGAAGCGAAAATTATCCCGAAGCAGCGGAAAGGTCAAGCCACTCAAAACGGAATCAAGGTGAGAAAATATGGGTGCCTCCTTGAGCGGTTGTCGCGCAGCATGAATTAGTGCAGTTTGACCCGATTATCGATTCGATCCGATCCGTCGGAGCTGCGATCTTCTCTCCGTTGTTGTCAGATTCCAAGGGAAAGTCCTCGAAAGTAACGCGGAGCCCATGCGTAACGCGGAAATTAATAATCTGGCAGCACTGTTTTGGACTCTGCTCCCTTAAGTCGTTGTATCGTTACGCGACAGAATATGCAGCCCTACCGCGATGCTAATGATCATTATCCCAATCGAGTTTTTAGGAAAAGCGTGCGATAGTTGTTGCAACGTTGTTCAACTGTGAACTTTGGTTTTTAGGCAGAGAAGAGTTCCGTAGACATCTCGGGTCCTGCGAATCGATTGCCACGGATCGATATCGCAAAGCGATCTATTGAGTGGTATCGATAGGGCTTTGTCTCGCCATTGTACATTGTTTCAACAACGGGCCTGCGCCTGCCGTTGTCGCAAACAGTCAGAAAGACTATGCAGTATGCAACATTTTTCGAAATCTTTGATCAATTCATTTAGGAATTCCTTCCCATATCTTCTCTCGCACTCAGTTTGTCTCCTGGCGCACCCTTAGTTATTTCTTGGTTTCTTCAATGAAATTTGCAATCTCTCTGTGATAGCTGTTTGTGACTTCCATGGAAACCAATTAGAGCTAAAGCACCGCGAGATTAACTTTGGTTCTCGTGAAATACCTAAGCTGCGGTTCAGGTATTAGAAGTTTTTAGTCATAGGAACCAAACCTCGGTTCAGGCAACCAAATTCTCGAATTTCGTCATTCCTATGCACATGTATGCAATTGAGCTTTTCGTTGACTTTCATAAAAAGGATAGAAAAGAGAAACGAAAAAAAGTTTTCATTCCACGTATAATTGCAAAACGTACCGGTATTATTGGAGTATGGAAGCACTGCAGTACTGCAGTATTGCATTACTGGAACTCTGGAGCAATGTACCATAGAGTATTGGAATATTGGCTTATTTTCATTGATTACAATAAAATTTCCTCCGCTCTTACGCTATGATTCGATCTCATCAATAATTTCTTTTACCTCTCTAGCAAGTCGAACATTCCAATGTATATCCTGGCAACTTCATAGCGCTGACAAATTCTCATTATTTTTTCTAGAATTCACAGACACACTTGAACTTGGATTGTATAGATCGATTCATTTCCTCCTTAACACTGATACACCGCAGATTTTTCTCAAGTTCAACTCTTTATTTATGGAGGTCATCGTAAGCTGTTTGTCGCAAAACTTTTACATTTTTTTATCACATTACGAAACAGCAATTTGTCGAAATTTATCAATTGAGGGCCTCTTCGGTAATAGGGTATATGAACCTTTAAATGCTGTTAAAGCTGTGTATTACAATTCTTTAATTACAAGTTACTCATTCGATAGCTATGCCATTAATTTTTCTCACTATCATATGGAAGTAAGCAGTGGACTGTGAACGAATTTCATTTGCTGCAAATGATATGAAAAATTTCACAATCCTAGGGGCATTTCAATTTTCGTACGCCACATTCACCGAAGAGGTCCTCAATTTTTAAATTCATTGAACGGCTGGGTTTTAAGATGACGTCATTGGTTATTGGAACAAGCTATCCGGAGGATAATTAAGTATATACATTTATGATTGTTTTCATTACGTTCAAATCTCTGAAAGCAAACTGACCGATTCAAATTTTCTGTTGCAGGTAAAGAGACTTTCCTTCTAACTCTACGTAAGATGAGGTAAGAGACAATGACAATTAACGTCGTAGACTCTCTTCACATTTTAACTTACTGAATTAGATAAAAGCTCAAAAGTTTACTCTCCTTCAGTGCAAAACAAAAACAGCAAGGCACAGTCTCAACCGCAAAAATTTTCACATTTTTCATATGCCTAATTTTGTAAAGCCATACAACAGCTTTGCTTTGGGATCAATTTAATATTAAAAACCGCATAGTAATGTTTCCAGTCTATTCACATCAAGGCATACATTTTACACGGAGAAAGAAACTTCGTGCATGGGACCCGAAGTTGAGGTCATATGGATCTCTGAAGTTTTCTAATCGCGCATCCGAAAACTTGAGGTCGAGCTGCCAAAATTCGGGTGAGACATCGAGGCACTCCGGTATGTACCGGAGTACTTCAGATGTGTGACCCAAACCCTTCGGTATACATCGAAGTACTTCAGATGTCTAACCCGAACTCCGGCAACTGGACCTCAAGTTTTAGATACGTGATCCGAAAACTTCAGAGATCCATATGACCTCAACTTCGGGTCCCACGCAAGACGTTTTTTTCTCCGTGTAGCCTGTAAATCACAAGACGTATAAAACGACATATTATTTCGCTCCATCATTCACAATTAGTTCAGGATTTAATTTTGTAGGGTTCGAATCACATTCAAAAATTGATCAGTCTCAGAAAAATCACATCAGTCTTGGTATATTTTTATTCACAACATTTGAAAAAATAGAGCATCAAATTTGATCAAATAATTGGCCCAACTGACAAAAGCCCCAAAATTCCGAGAAATTGCCGAAACATTCCGAAAATAGCTAACAATTTCGGAATTTTCAAAGATTCCGGTGAAATTTCCAATTATTTTATAAGTTCAGAAATTCCGAATCAATTCCGGAAAATGGCAGCATTGGGTTTGGCATCGTTGAACTTCAATGTGGAACTTCATTAGTCCGAAAACGAACCCGTTCGGGCCTGGATCTGAGTTTCTTCTTCCATCGGGGATGCTTGAAGCTTTCCTTCTGGCACTGACTCCAGTCCTGTTTGATCATATCGGCGGCCTTCTCGGCTATCATGATGGTGGGGGCGTTAGTGTTGCCAGAGACGAGGGTGGGCATGATCGAGGCGTCGACTACCCTTAGCCCGGAGATGTTGTGCACCCTTAGTCTGGGGTCGACCACCGCCTTCGGGTCAGAGGATGGTCCCATCTTGCAAGTCCCCACTGGGTGGTAGATCGTCATCGTGTAGTGTCGCGCCTGGAAATATAGATAATTCGCTTACACCAGGACCTCTTATTGTATGCATGATATACACGATGAGTACAATGAGAGAAAAGTTCGGTCTTATGAAGCGTAATCTCGATGGCCATGGTGGAAAACCATGTATGATGTTTCAAATTTTCCGTAATTCCTATTTTATACTTTCGGAAGATAACAAGCCAGCTTTATAGCTAGCAATTCATAAAGAATATTCTGTTAACGAATAAGAAAGATCACGGAAGTCTTCAAGCAAATAGGTTATTAGTCACCCAAAGAAAAAAATAAACAAGGTGCCGAAATGGTGCCGGATCCACCCACACCATTTTGCGGGGGAAAAAATAAATTATGAAGGAAGTTGACATTTGACAACGTCGAAATCGATACGTGGTTCCGCATTTTGGCCCATATCGATCTGTTGTTCTATATCGATCGCGCTATTCCGTTCATAAATTATTAGGTTCATGATACTGAGCTATCAAAATAAATCAATCCGCAGAAAGAGTTCGATTGAATGGATGACCAAAACCACGCTCGGGCACATGACTGATATGCAACATTGCATCATAGGACTACGGTTCATGTAAGCAAACTTTCTTTCCTCAGTGTAATGGATAGTTTCAAATGGATGCAAATGTTCTCAAAATATTTTTAAGCTCTAGTCGATACCCTCTGCTCTGACTGAAATGTAAAATCTATACATTTGGTTTCTGAGCGAGGTGAAAAACTGGGTGTGATAACCTCGCCAGGGTATGTGATACATACCCTGCCGTGGTTTGTTGAACTTCCATACTGCCGTGCAACGCAAAAGCGCCGAAAACGCCATTTTAAATTTTTTGGAAACAATCTATCAGAGCAGAAAAACTTATGTACCTTGGAACAATGTTTTTACAGAATTCTTTCGCAAATGTTATCAAGAATTTAACGAGAAAATTTGAGGTGCATGGGTAAAATAGTTTTTATTTTATAAGGTGTCAAGTTCCAAAAAACGCGGGAAAATCTTGATGGATTTACGGCGTTCTTGCTTAGCACGGCAGCATTAGGAGTTCATTGAATCTTATGAGTGAGTAAAGCTGACTGCGGAAGATGCTATCTACATTGTTCTAAAAAGTCTGCATTTTATTCTAGTTTTCCGTTTGCATATTTCCATTTTTATTTATTATCCATCATAAGAAGTGAAATCTTTCCTCTGCTTTCTTTCCAAAACTCATTTATGTTTTTTTTTTTTTTTAAATTTAATTTTTGACTGAAGAAACAATTTGTCCGTACCCCCTTAACAGCTTCTAAGGTTTTCACATTCCATCCTTACTTACCCGACATTCCCACCACTCGTCCGTAAATGGTTTCAGTTTTTCGCAACCCAGTATTCTGTGAGGGTTGATTCGCATATGATACTTCTTAAGGGCCTTAGACATTGCAAATGTGTGCGCCACTTTTCCTGCTTCAATCTAAAATTTTAAAAAACAAAGCATCCACCATCATAATCAACCATTTAAATCATCAAAAATATTAATTACTGCCAAATTTACGTTCCTACCACATCTATTGTATAAAAATAAAATATTGTGATAGCGGGAATTTAAATTTTGTATACTGTACATCGAAGACTCGTATTGTTAGAGTTATGATTCAGATCATTCTTCCCTCATTTTCCCCGGACCAATTAATTTATTTCAACATATTATGGAAAAATCCCATGTTCTCATTGTGACGTAGACTTTAGCTCAATCGTAAACTCTTCTGAATAATTTGAAGCCTTTCAAATGTACATTCACCAATGTAACTTGAGTAAATAATGAATTAGACCTAAGTATACTATCAACATATTCGTATCGTCTTATTGTAATAGAACGAGGCCATATCACTTACGTTTCTAGGGCCGCATTCTATTATGCTTTCTAGCTCCTTCAGCCATCACTTTCGCGAGCGCAAGCTCACGCGTGCATTTCGGCGACCTCAGAGTATCTACCTTGGAGCATTGGTCATTGCAATGACACTTCGGACGTCATCGCTCTTCCGGTTGCTACCGAGATATATACTCTGAGGGGCCCGCGGCGCGGCGTCGTATCTTCGAGGCAGCGTCTAGTGATTCTAGTGATAGCGCTCTTTTGTATTCCGATTATACCGATCACTCTATATTATACCACTCTACCATTTGAGTTACGTGAGTTTAGATTATTTTATCCCCCCATTACATAGTGGAGACGTCGGGAAAGGAGCACTGTGTCATCCGTAAAATCCCAGGTTAGTAAGCGTTAAGTATTTAATTTTAAGTAGAAAATTTACAGAGTTAGTAGAAATTTTTCGAGCTTCACCAAGTCAAGATTTACGAAAACTATTAGTAATTTTCATTTATTTGATTGTACGAAAACAGTTAGTAATTTTCAAGCTTCACAAAGTTGAAAACAGAAAGCGTTAAGTATTTAATTTTACAACTAAGAAAATCTACAGAGTTAGTAGGAATTTTTCGAGCTTCACCAAGTCAAAATTCACGAAAACCAGATATAATTTTCATTTAATTAATAGTACGAAAATCGTTAGTAATTTTCAAGCTTCACTAAGTTGAAAATAGAAAGCGTTAGGTAACTTTCGAAAAATTGATTTTTTTCCCATTCTCAAATTAAGAACTGCTTACGAAACTCTAGGTAAATTTTTCACTGCAATCGTCCATCCAAATCTAAAATTTTCATTTGCTTTAAAGTGAAAAATTAGCCGAAAGTTTAAAGTAAGTTTCGTTGGGAGCATTAAATTTTCAGTGAAATTCGATTCACGGATTTTCCTTCGAATTTTCTGGGGCAGCAGAAAATTATTTTCAAAAATTTAGACGAACAGTCAAAATTTGAAATTGTTATCAGTGGAATTATATTCACAAATTTTACTGCAGATCATTTCTGGGGCAGCAGAAAAGAATTAATTATTTTTTTTTTAGACAAAAGTCTTGAGTATATTTCATTGAAATTTTATATTATCAGTCGAATTTAATTCGCAAATCTTACTTTACGTAGTAAATTTTCAAAGCTGCAGATAGCTCAAATAATTTCTGGGGCAGCAGAAAAACTATTTTTTTTTAAAATTCTGTTTCAAACTTGTGAGCAAGATCAAATCTTTACGAAGTTTAACTTGTGCATACTTCAAAGTTCTGAAAGTTGATTTCTTCATACTGACATTTTTTTAAAAGAAAGTTTAGTTTAAGCGTATCGATTCCTTGTGCCTATCGCAAATTTGGCGACTTTGTCTCAGATCCATCCTCCCGTACTGATTCTCGTACGCAGCTGCGATCAAACTTTTTAAGTCACGACGCTGTTTGCGCAGAGAATCTGGACGTGCGACGAAATCTGGGGTTTCTTTAAGCCTTTTTGCTGATTCTTCTTTCAGTGCTTCTATCAGTGTCAGCTAAAAGTAGTGCCGAGAACGCGGAGGTATTCATAAATTTTCTAAAAATCAAAATCTTCTCTACTCGTCGGGAAATAGTGCGTCGACCCATAGACATCGCGTCGCGTAAATAAACAAGTAACGCTACCTTGTCTACATTGAATTGCGACTCGTGTGAGAGTTACGGGAAGCAACTCAATGAAGAGAATAGCATAAAACGAAATTATCGCGAATTTGTTTTTTTAGAAACTTGTTTTTCTCCCATTCACGTTCATGGCACCGAGAGAGGTCTCGAAAACGCTGATGCCAGTAAACACAAAGCGAACCTGACCGAGTCCATACTACGTACTTCATGCCGGGTCAATTGAGGACGAGTGGGAGGCGGTGAGATTGGACACCAGAATCAGGTACCAAAGCCTAATCATGAACCAGAACCGAGAGCAAACCTTCCAGCTTAGAAAGAGGCGTCTTTTCAGGCAAGTTTTCTGCCAGGTATGGCGAGAATCTATTCGGGAATGTCAAACCCAGCTGGAGGTGACGAGAGCATTAAGTCAGTCTAAGACGCGAAGGAATCAGTGGATTAGGAACAGAAAATACCGGATATTGGGAGAGGTCTTGCCGCACATGAGGAAGGAAGTAGCGGCTAACCGGCAAAATTTTCGGCAGGTTCCGGAGTCAAAGGGACTGGGATAACCACACCCGCCAAAAATGAGGATGAGGACCGCGTCAACGTCACAAAATCTCCAAGGAAGCGCATTCAAATATTTGCGGACTTCACTGCACAATCCCTGGTTTCAAATATCGCCCATAAGTTCGGTGAAGACTTCGAAGTCTCGGAAGAAGGGGGTAGATTGGACAGATTTGAAGTCATCGTCGACAAAATTTCAAAACAGAACGACGAGCAACGCTTAGGCGACGTCATCATTGTCATGGCTGGTACATTAAACGTACACCCCGTACAGGAACCTGAGAAGATCGGCAGCGGCCTGTCATTGGAATGTCTGGAAGCAATAGCCGAAAGGCCTGTGTTTTTATTCAGTGTACCACATCAACACAAGCCCAAGTACGATCCTCTGGTCCAGATCGTGAACAAAATTTTGAGAGAGAATGCGGGAAGGTGTCGCCATCTAAAGTACCAATCGTTAGCAAACTTAGAGGCGGACGAATACCGGACGGTATATAGTCCCGTCCAGAGAAAACTACCGCACTTTCCCGACTACTGGGTTACTCGTCAGTTGTCCGAGTCAGCACGTCAGAAAATAGCGAACTTTGTGTTTAAAGCGCTACGACAACACAAGGTAGCTGAATCAAGTCCTAAGTCTTTTCCTGAGAGCGATGTTGGAGCATGCGGCGAAACTACGGCCCGCGGCTCGAAACGGACGTTTTCTAATGAGGACACCGAGATTTTGCCTAGAAACAATTACAAGAGGGCAAAAACATGCAAGGTACAGAACAATTTCAGTAGAAAAGAGGTGATTTTGAGCAACTTTGGATACGATTTTTCGGATTCAGATACTGTATATCACGAACCTATTTACGTGAGAAGTGTAAATTTCATGCAGAATAAAAACTTTAAGCGAGAGGTTTATTCGAACGATAAGTTTTCGTCCGAAGTAAAGGAGGTCACAGAGCGGGCTCACTCCTTGTCTGATTGTAAGGATACGAATTTTGGGTCTAATGCATCTCTAAGCAGTGTTTCAGATAGTGCTGAAGAAATTGGCGAAAGCAAGGAGATAGTCGAGCCCGTTAGGGAGCGTGGAGATCCCGACACGTTCAAGCTTTGCGAACCTGAGGAGAGCCCAGCCGCATGTGAAACTCAGAATGGAAATTTTCACAGCATACAAATATTCCCTACGGAATTCGTAAGTTCTATTGAAGAAAATGGTAAATATGATCATTTTGATCAGCAAGAAACTAGAATAGAGGCATCAAAACTCGAACACGAGGTCGAAATTTTCACGGTAACAAGCGATGAACTTGAACTTACGCGTGGTTTACGCGTTTCAGGTAAACAAGGTGAGCGCAGCGATTTTCAAAACATTGACGCCGCCAGTCGCGAAGTTTACAAATTCAAGAAAAGGAGTGAGGAAAAGCGAGGCTGCATTACTACGAATTACACGGATGATGCCAAATCGGAGTTCAATAAGAAAGTCTGCTTGAAACGTAATGATCATTTTAAGGGATCCAAGATGGATCATGATTTTTCTTGGGGAAAATTGCCTCCCAAAAATTGGAGATTTAGGAGGAAATTCGATCCTGGGGGATAGTGTCAATCTAGGATTTTCGATTTCAAGACGTATAACTTTCTTGTCCGAACGACGATGTTTTTTGGAATACGATAATATGTTCTTCGATTTTCAGATTTTTTTTTTTTTTGTTGGTTTAAATTTTACTCTTCTTACCGGACTTTTCCGAAGGTCGGTGAATCAAGAATTATACATAAAAAAATGGGACATTCATTACTGGAAAGTCCATCTAAAAAGAAGAAGAGGTTGCAAAAGTCAGTTTTTTAGAAAATATCTTCAACATTTCTTGATCGTCTTATGTTTGGAGAAAAGATAAATATTTTTTTTTTCCTCCTGGAAAATTTTATTCCTTTAGCTCCGTCTCTTTTCCTCCTATCTTTCACGGTCCTCTTCCGTTTATTCAGAATGCATGCACATACTCGAGTTTCATTATTAACTTATTTTCATTACTCTTGACTTTTTCATGCTTTTTGTACATGCTTAATAAGTTTGTTGTGTATGTGTTGCATGTACCTGTACACATATGTTGCATTGCACGATTTCTGCAATTGCGCGATCAAGATGAAAAGGCCAAGCTTCTTGATCAACTTTACATAGAAATTTAGATTTTCAAGTCCCATTTCATCAAAGCAAAGGATTGGGCTAAGTAACGCGGTTCAAATTACAAAATCTAACCGTAGAGCGAATTAATTTCAGTGACCTAAGGTGAACGCTTTCATTAAGTCCTTTTTAGGTCTGTCTCTCATTTTTTTTTAAGTCTTTAAGTTTTCTTTGGTTCTGCTGTTTATGGCAGAAACTCGTTACAGGTTTCGTTCTTCCTATGGAAAAAGAGAACGTGGTGGAAAAGCTATTGCCCCCGTATAAATGTAGTTCCCAAGGACGTTTTTCTTTTTCTCTCAAGAAAAGAAAAGAATGCCATTATGTGCGCTGCAATTTAGGTAACAGGAGAGTGAGTTCAAAATAATTTTTAAACTCTGATATCGAATACTTTCACCTGCTTCAGAATTGTTTTCTAAGAATTTTGAGAAGTATGCATTTCTAACTTTATAGTTTCACAATGTATTTTTTACTTCTTTCTAGGAGTCTTGTTTCACTCTTTCTTTACGGTTTATTTTCTTCATGATTTTCTTCGTAAAGATTTTCTATTTCCATTATATTAAAGCAAAAGAATCAGCGAAGTAACGTTGATTAATTTTCATTGTGAATTACGACCGGGAACTAAACTAGAACTACCTAACTTCATTACTAATTTTATAAAATTGATACTTTCTCTTAAAATTGTAAGGATTTTTCCTCTTCCTTGCGGAAAGGTCAGGAGTTCCTCGGCGTTACTGAGCTTTGAACGCGCAGCACGGTGTGTGCAGCGTTGTCACATTCTGTTACTCCTGTTTTCATGACATTGTCAGTGTCTAAAATGTATTTAATCGAATCTGCAATTTTTTTTTTTCGCTCTCAAGCTTATTTTTGTTTTCCATAGTCTTTCCTTATTTACAGCAATAATTGTGAATATTATTGTATATTATTGTAACATAATTTGAATATTAGTATTACAATATTATTGCAAGATGCTTCTTGTTCCCTTCAGATTTTCCTATGGTCAAAACAGTTTTCGATTTTTTTTCTGAGAAAAATTTCGTGGTGGAGAAAGGCGCTACTGCCCCCGTATATGAGTAGAAAGTAATTTCTACTAATTATTTATTTTTATTTTAAGAAAAAAACCATCAGGCGCAAGTCAGTTTTCGATATAGAATTGGAAAGTAATTTCTTGTTATTTTTACCTATATTACCATTATGTGCAGTAAATTATCGATTACATATTGAATGATAACATAATAAATGATTATTGCATGAATGATATTCTAGAGTTGTATTTATAAAAATTTAGAATTTTTATACTTTCTACTGAAAATAGGAAATTTTAACCTAGTAATCTAATCATGTGTTTTTTTGTGGGCAACGTTTCAGAAGTCCTGTTCGCAAGGGGAGTTTCCTAATGCCGTCTTGGAATTCGCATCACTGACGAGAAACGCATTTCCAGTCCATGTCGCTTGAATAGTACACGTCGCAGATGACACCCAACCGAAGTGATACTAACTTCACTGCCCATGGCAGGCCGCAGGCCGGCTCATTCCAGTTGGTGCCTGTGGGATTTTGGTCATCCCGGTTCTTCGCTCGGAGCATCTCCCTGGGCTCACAGGCTCATCAGGAAGATATATAAGCTGTC